CCACACTTCAGGAAAAAAGCAGAGATAGCCCCCCCAAATTAGATGTTATTCTATGCCTCAGATTAGCTGTTTTCCTCTCTGAGTTCCTTCTGCATGCAGAAGTGTCCATTTAGTAAAGACACTGAGTATCAAAGCACGTTTGTTGCTCTACACTGCCTGTAGGAGTGAGATCTCAAGTTTTTTTCTTATTTACCCCAAGGAAACTACAGTGTACTTATGAGACCTGACTGACTTTAACAGAACCCTTCCCAATTTGCATGGCTGTAAGGCAGAGGCAACGTTTATACCTCTAATGTTCCATTTATACTGCTACTTGCATTACATTTGAATTTTAGTAAAATTTCAGCCCCCACTCCAGGTTGTGAACAACGTGCCATTTTGTTTCATTTCACATTAATATAGTGGAATATTAAATGCAGCAATTCAGGAGTCACCTCAGACTGTTTGTCTGCTGGAGGGGAAGAAGGTGGAAGGAGAAGAGGAAGGAAAGGAATATAATTAATTTTCTACACATGCGCACTTTATACCAAGCCAGAAGACTTTCCTGCGCTTGTAAGCTCTCCCAAGAAATTTAAACTAATTTTTACAGTGGTACAGAACCTTAAATGAACATGTATTTCAGTTTAACTTGAACCAGCTTGTAAGCAACGTCTGGTAAAAATTATATATGTGGAGTTCAGATCCAATTATAGCAACAAGATAGGCCTTTGCACCCGTGCAATTACGTTAACCTGAACTGGATCTTCAGTTTAAACCCTGCAACTGATATATGTAACAGCAGAGGTTAAATGAAGTTGGAGAGCCGGAATAGCATTTTCCCTACAGTTGTTCATTGTGTTTACCTCTGTTCATTGACATTTCTTGCAGTTTGTTTGCTTTCCTAGCATCTGAGTATTTGTTTTAGATTATATAGGAAGATCAAAGACTAGAATTTGCTCTAACCAAACTAGGAAAATGCAATTGCTTTAACAAACCTAGAGGAAATGTATTTTTCCCAGTCTTATTCATGATTTTTTTGTTATTTTCTTTGTTTATAAGAAGAGATCTCTGCATCTAAGGTGCTAATTTGCCTTTTGTGAAAATTCAAAATATAGGATATACAGCAAATGAAATGTATGTCAGTATTCACAGGGCACAATACATAAACAGGTGACTTTTTAAAGACTCTCATCTGGAAAGTATCCAAGGGTTTTGTGGACTAGCATTGTATTTGTTCCCTTTCAGAAAGCTGGTTAGCTAGATCGTTGTGCTTTTTGGGGAAAGGCAACTTCTGGCTCAATTTGTATTCTCCAGAATGGACCAGTCAGTTCTTTCAAAGGACCTACCTACACTGCTTTGCATGATGGTCATTCACAAGTTTCCCAAGGGTTGGATCTATGGCTATTTTCTAATGTGTATCACGACTAAATATTTCTCTCCATTTCAGGAAAACTGCTAGTAAACTGCTTTTCTTCGGATTCAAATCATGCATGGTACTAGTCAGCTTTTTGGAAAAGGATTAGTTATTTATTAGAAATATTATTCTGATTTTTAACTTGCTTTCTGAGGAACATCAGGCTTATTCGCTGGTTCTGTTCCTCATGTGTCCCCATAACAAGAAATGTTTACAAAGCACAAGGAGTCCCACACCTTTCGTGAATATCAATTAGTTAGTGGAAAGTAATCCATCATAGCACCTGCTGTGAAGGCAGCAGTAACTGATGGGCATCTGTTTGTGGCTTCTGGAAGCAGAAGCTGTGTATATTGCACCAAATTAGCCACAGTCAGTTGCTCAAACAAACAAGGAGATGTTCCATGGGAATGGAGGAAACCCCACGCAGGGCAGTATCAGTGTAAGGAAAGTCAGATAGAAAACTTCGAGTTTCCCTGTTCAGTTAGTCATAGAATTAGCCTCCTTTTATAAAAGGACATGAAAAATTAGAAATGGCTGTTCTTCTACCTCTTAGATATATTCTGGCTGTTTCTTAACTTCAGCTGAAGACGCAATTATTGCAAACTTATCAGAGCTATACCAAGTATACTTTCAGATGCCATTTCCAAGTGATGCATACATATGATATCTTTTGCCTCCTAAATTTTTCAGTTCTTCTAGACAGCGTTGGATTTTCAGAGAGAAAGGGTGATATAGCGCTGTTAGGAGTCCAGTGACTGTGGAGCTGCAATTATCTGAACTTCAGTTAACTAGAATTCTTTCAGCAACATAAATGCTCCCAGAGTTGAGTTGGCTGCTGCTTTTTTCAAAGTAGAATACTAAGTGCTAAAACCCTCAAGCAAATTTTACGACCTCTGGGACAACTCCCTGCACTCTGTCCCAAGAAGTCAGTATTTCTTAGCAGTTTTGCAGACATCTACCTCCAGTTCTGTATATGAAAATCCTCACTGTGCAAATTTTCTCTGTTACCACTGAATAATTCAAGTATTAACTGACTTGAGTTACTTCAGGTATATAAGATTGTGCATCTTCTATTATACTTCATTAATTTTTTTGAACAAATGTTTAAAATTCAGACCAGTCTGCTTTGCAAAGGCTGCCCAAAGTCATTTACTTTTGTCTTTGTAAACAGATTTTGGGAATTAATGAAGTAGAACAAATGCAATTGTTTCTGTGATGGTGTCAGCATCTTCAGTATGTTGTAATTTAATCTTGAGCTAGTTATTCTCCTCAGGTCATTCTTAAAGCTTTGCTAAGAAACTTGATATAGCAAAGGTAATGAATAACAACAGTCATTTTTGCCTTAACATTAAGATCATCATAGAATCTAAAATTAAATCAAGATATAAAAGACAACAAAACAGTAAACCCAAGCTTATTTCAAGTCCCTGTATGCAATGGGAGGTATGCAATATAAGCAGAAATAAAGCAATTTGTTAATATTCTGGTAATCCCTCAAAGTGCTTATCAAAATACATCTCCCCTTCCTTCAATCTTGGAACCCTAATTCTCCAATAAGCATCCAGTAGGTGATATCATAACTCCAAAATTTTGCTAAGACACACCATGGAAGAGGAAGGAAGCACTAGCTTTTCTCTCCTTTGTACCCCATATCCAGGAACACGCTGACTACGGATACAGATTTAAGTGTCATTCATCCAAACCAACTGAGGGCTGATGCCAGAAGCAGAAGAACCCCTCCTCACTCCACATTTGTCCCCTTGCCCTACTTTGGATCTTACGGTCAATTACCATGCAGGAAGCTGGATCACAACTCCCCCTGAAAAATTATTTTGTCATGATGACACGCTGACTTCCTGTATGGTCGTGTGATAGCTAAATCTGTCAGAAGAGCTGGGTCCTGGGACAGAATAGGACTACATCTCTAAGGACCATCCAGAAATTACATCAAATTTAACATACAGTGAAACTAATTCTCTTTCATAGTCTCACTTTTCTCCATTCATGTTGGCTGAAATAACTTAAGCAATGTACTCGTGTCTCAAATACCTGGCAGGATTTGTCTGCTTAGCAACTCCTGAGGTAGTAACTTCAGGTCAGAAGCAACCACACCACGTGCTCGAGTGGCGTGATGGCAATCTGTTTCATAAAATGGCCTTTCTCAGACTGACCTTTCAGGCTCAAATTAGCATTTCACTTTGTCTGAAACCTATCAAAGTCTGCTGAAACTGTCATTGAATTTAATGGGAGCTGGATCATGGCCTAAACAAGCAGCACAAAAATGTATTTGCAGAGAAAGTCAGAGTTGCTGGCTGTACAGGTCAACAGATAAAACCTTGAAAAAATCTAAATATAGCATTTGCTACATTTTAACCTATCACTGCACCTTAATACAATGCCCCTGAAATTAGACTCATTTGCTTATAAATATTGGTAAGAACTTTCTCCTGGCACAGGACATTTGATACTGAACTTCAGCTCTTCTATAAACAGGGAAGTCAAAACCAAATCTGTTTTATTTAAAGAAACTGGAGTTATTTTTTCAATGCAAATTAACAAGATAGAGCACTATGGCAACCAAGCCACTGTTGCCACAGAAATTTGCCATTTTAATTAGATATTCCTGAAGGCAAAAATACTTTCATCAAATCATATCAGAGACTAGCATTTCTACTTTTTTAAACTTTAATTATATATCATTCTGGTTCATCAGCATAACCAAACAGCCCAAAGCAAAATCTAAATCTCAATTCAACTTAACTAGTCCTGTCAGGTACTAGATATTGACACTGAAACACTGAAACCAGTTGTTTCCTGGAAACCTTGACTGTGGTATTCCTTCTTGTGCTTAGGAAGTATGGAAGGAAAGCAACACCTTCTTCTGCAGGACTGTTAATTGTTTCACCTTCATTTACACATTTCCTAAATCCCTTCATCTTGTGCATATGAGTTTATTAAATTACTGCGCGAACATGTGAGCAATAATAGCTTTCAGCTGAAGAGTAGCATTTAAACATGCTGGGAGCACAGGAAACTGAGCGGTCAAGTTAGTTTTCAGGCTGCTGTATAAGGTTTTATTACTGTTGTAAATAGTGCAAAAGCTGAAAAAAATCAGTAGGTCAGAATGGATAGTGCCTTGAGACCCAGAAACTGCTGTTGGCATACCTAAGCAGTGGAGCAAAGCAGAGAGATGCAGTAAGGGCTTCTGTGGGTGACCTCTTTCAGTTCAGCAGGTTTGTCAGACAATTATGTCAAACTTTAGATAATTTTTTCATATGTGATAGTGTCCTGAATTTTTTTTAAAGGTGAGTGAGGGGCAGGGGCTGTGTGTGCGCGGGGGGGTGTGGGGTAAGGGGCGTGCAGTGTCGGGAGCGGGAGTGTGGGGGGCTGTCTGTGGGGGTCTTGCGGGGGCTGTAAAACTAAATGTGACGGATATCTGTTATTTTATTGGAAAAAGTGGGTGTTCTTCTCCCGTAAGTCCCCAGCGCGTTCCTTGGCATCTCGGCATCGCGCAGGCTGTGCTGTGGGGGCAGTCTGGGTTTCAGTGATCACACTGATTCACCTGATGAGGAAGTGCCGCCTTTGGTGCTAAAGTGGTAGGTGTGCCCCGCAGGGAGCGGACGGTTTATGTAATTGGACCTTACATAATGGTCTTTAGCACATTGCTTTTGTTAGCACTGCTGCCGGGTTTTAACGTGGCCTGGGCTGGAGTGGTGAACGGATGCGGGTGGGTGACCTGGGCAGAAGCAGGGGAGTCTGCACACTGCAGCTGGGTAGAAACCCAAGGATGTCAGAATTGTAGTTATGGGCAGTGAGTAAGGGTGGTTCAGAAATGTGCTCCAGGACTGATTGATGACACCTGACTTTAGGCGAACGTGTGTCTAAATGATACTGGGTAACTGCTGCTAGGAAAAACCCCACCGCCTTGCTGTGTGTCAGCCAGCTGATGTGAACAGGGTAAGTTTGTTTAAAATGCTGTTTCTGTTGGCTTTTTGAGACAAGAGCATGAAAATTGCCATTGTTTCAATCTCATGTAGCTCAGTGTGGGAAGAGAAAGAAGAAAAAACAGGACAGGGAAAGGCTGGCAAATATGGTTTTCTTGCACTGTTCGTGCTTTTGGGGTTTAGCTGATGCTGGAGTGAGCAGTATCTGTTGTCTTCCCATTAGCTTTATTTCAGTTGTGTTCTCTCTGCAGTGCAACAAAAGGTTTTGGTTGTGTTGGGAGATGCCAGTGTCCCAGGAGACTGCAGGCAAGCCTTGAGCAATGAACTGGCATTTTCTTTTCTTTCTGCTCTCCTGACATCAGCAGTAAAATGATGCTATGTCTTTGCCTGTCCTCATAGGGTCCCCAGAATTATAGTGGTGGGGACCTTGTTGGAATGGCTTGTCTACTCTTTTCCGTTGTTAAGCATGGGTGGTAACTTCAGAAATGTTTTGTGATACGCTGTTTTGTTTTCCAAATGGGATTTCAGTAAAGTCCTTGGGTTGTATCAGTAAGCCTTTTGTTTAGAATAGTTTGAGTTTGTTTTTAGCTCCTGCTGATCTTAGAAACATTTTCATGCAACTGGCTGGTCTGGCTTCTTGTTATTTCTCATTAAATGCCCTGCTAAAAAAATAATGTTGCAGTAGTATGTGGCATGTTTGGCCTGAGACCTAGAGCACTTAGTACTGCAGGCCACCTGAAAGTGGTTTTAGAGCTCACAGAAAACTGTATTGTTCTCCCTGGCTGCTAGCATGATCTTTTGGGAGTAATTATACTTGCAGTGCTACTATACAGTTAGTTTTTGAAATCCATGGGGCACAGTTCTGTTGTGGAGTAAGCATCTGATTGTACTTAGGAATTTCCCAGAGCTTGAATACTTTATTTGAAGTAGGAGACAATATGATGGACCTCCCCCATGGCAACTGAAGAACTTCAGCTGTTCAGGTGCCCTAGGTTTTAGCCTGTTGGCAGCAGAGCTCTTAGCAGTTGCTTGTTCTAATTGCACTTCAAATGAACAAGCCAAATTGTAAACCTGTAGAAGTTGTCAATGTAACTGTGCTATAACTTTCATTGCATCAAAGTGCACAATGCTGTGATCAGTACATTAACCAGAAGTAAAGTCTTTCAGCTGCTCAAAAAATCCTACCTGTGTGAAGGCTGGTTAAGACCTTGAAGGTAAAAAAACCCCAACAAGTCGAGTTTATAAGCTGCAAGAGAATTGTAAAGGTAGACTAGCTTGTTCTAAATGTGAGGATCATGGCAATTCATATAGATCATTGATTTGCCACATCTTTCATTTTTTCTGTAGGCTTTGAGTACTGATCTTCTCTTGGGTTTGATATTTGGAGTGTATTAATAGAATTGTACTCTAGCAGGCTTTTTTAAAGTTGCCCATTAATTGTCACTTATTCTAACTTGTTGGGTCTGCTTGTTCTGTGTTGTGTTAGACGAGGCTTTTCATTGCACGGTTTACAATTACTTATTGAGTAAGTATACTTACTTCATTCTTATAATGTTGGAATTTCTTCTTAGCCTTGCCACAATGAGAAAAACCATGCTGGGAAAATAAAAATTAACTTTTCTGATGAGTTGACTGAAGATGGACGGTCATATCCTGATGTTAGTGATGGAAATTGTATCCCTTTTAAGATGTCTCTATTTATAATGGTCTTTTTTTGAAAAAAATTCTGAGTGTTTCTGTAAGCTCTAAACTTGCTTTTGTATTGCCATATAGAAAGCTTCTTATGCACCTTCTAAATTTTATACCTTTCCTATTCTTATATTCCAGGCTGTAAGAACATTCTGTGTTACTGAAGGAAGGTGCTCTTATTTGTGGATTGACTTATGATGTCAAGAACTGTATCATCCTGGATCTTAAGCTCAGCAAGAAACAGCATTGTTTTACAAGGAAAAGGACGTTTGTACTCCATCTGTATTCCAGATAGAAACAAGATAAAATGGAAGCTTATTTTCTCCAGAACACATCTCTACCCTGCTGGGAGCTGCAGCTTAGACAATACTTTCTCCTTAAAAAAAGCATTCCGACACACTTCCACCGAAGAAGAACATTTCTCTTTCCAGTTGTCTCCATCACAGATCAATGATATACTCAGAGCAGGTGAATTATCCCATAAAATACTGGATTTGAATGGTAAAAATGCAAATTCTGTGTTGAGGTTCGAAAGTAACCAGTTGGCCTCCAACGCCCCTATTGAAGACCGCAGGAGTGCAGCCACTTGCTTGCAGACCAAAGGGATGCTGTTTGGAGTCTTTGACGGTCATGCAGGTTCTGCCTGTGCTCAGGCCGTGAGCGAGAGGCTGCTTCATTATATAGCGGTTTCTCTCATGTCCCGGCAAACCTTGGAAGAGATCGAGCTTGCTGTGGAGTGCATGAAACCAGTTCTGCCTATTCTGCAGTGGCACAAGCATCCAAATGATGTAGAGTACCGAGAAGTAACTTCACAGTATTTTGAAAACCTCCGAGTTTACTGGCAACATTTACTGGACCTAGACACTGAGCCAGGATTTAGTTTAGAAGAAGCCCTGATATGCGCGTTCAAAAGGTTAGACTCAGACATATCACTGGAAGTTCAGGCACCCCAGGAAAATGAATTGATGAGAAATATTGCCCTTCAAGTAGCTTTTTCTGGTGCGACAGCCTGTGTAGCTCACATTGACGGTGTTCACTTGCATGTTGCAAATACTGGTGACTGCAGAGCAATTTTAGGCGTTCAAGAAGAAGATGGAACGTGGTCTACTCTCCCTCTAACCCGAGACCACAATGCCTTTGATGAATCTGAAATTGGAAGACTGAAGAGAGAACATCCTAGATCTGAGGAGAAAACCTTATTTGTGAATGACAGATTACTGGGAATTCTTATGCCCTCCAGAGCTTTTGGAGATGTGCAATTAAAATGGAGCAAAGAACTGCAACACAGTGTTCTTGAGAATAGCTGTGATGTTGAGGCTTTAAATATTTATCAGTATGTTCCTCCAAACTACCATACACCCCCTTATTTAACTGCAGAGCCTGAAGTCACGTACCACAAGTTAAGAAGCAAGGATAAGTTTCTAGTGATTGCTTCGGATGGACTATGGGAGATGCTAAGTAATGAGAAGGTTGTAAAACTTGTTGCTGAACACCTTACAGAGCTTAATATGCAGAAACCACAACTGGCTTTTGAGAAACCAGTTAATTTGGGTTACATGCACAGCTTGTTACTTCAAAGGAAAAACAGAGGCATTGCCTCACTTGATCAGAACATAGCTACTCATTTAATAAGGCATGCAATTGGGAGTAATGAGTATGGGGAGGTGGACCAAGAGAAACTTGCTGCAATGCTGACACTGCCTGAAGACCTTGCAAGAATGTACAGAGATGATATCACAGTTACTGTGGTGTATTTTAATTCAGAGAAAATTGAAAATGACTACAGAGACAATGAATAGAGACTTGCACTGCTGCTGTTCTGTACCACTAGCCGACTTTGATACTGAAGCCGTTACTAGTTTTCTCTGACAGTCAAGCTGTTACCAGTGTTATGGTCTGGAAGTTCCTAAATACTTTTGTTACTTACTAGTCTTGGAAATAACTTTCTAGAAGTGAGTTTGGTGAAAGTTCTGTGAGTTTCTAGGTCTACAGACACTGAAAAAAAAATATTTTGATAAAAGTTCACTGAAATGTAACTGAACTAACAATTGCTGATACAGTTCTGATTCCATGGGAACCACTGGTAAAACTTCCCAAATGAACAAACAAGACAAATTTAACTGAGACTGGTACAATTTGATAGAAATGGATAATAATTGTAGCTGCATGGAGTGTAAGAAAGGCTCTGCTCTTGTGGAAAATGAGTAGCATCCTATTGAAGCATGGTAATTGAATTAAATAAATAAACTACTAAACCTTTATTTGATGTAACAGTGTCACATAATTTAACAAATTACCTTGTATATGTAAAGACAACACTAAAGAAGGCTGTTCGAGAGCCCTGGGATTGTCAGACATTTTTTTCCTAATTTTTTTTTTAAGATGGGAAACAAAATCATTTTCTCCCACAATTATTTTGAAGTGTGAATGCATGTTCTCTTAACACTTGTGTGGACTTGTGTGACAATTTATAGCTCAAACACATGAGGGACTTCACTATTCCCTGTTCAGGAATTAACAGTATCAAACTTAAGCATTTAAGTGTTTAACTTGCTTAAAGAATATACCCTCTTATTAAGTCTTGACCTATGAAGTGCTGTGCATCAAATCCACCAGCTAGTTTATATGAAGTCCAAGAGATCCGGAAGTTCAAAAATTAGTCTAACCGTAAATTCAGCAAAAGAGAGAGCACCTTTCCTTCACATTTATCTTAGAAAAATAACAGTGCTGATACTTCACTAAAATATGTTTAATCTCTATTTTACTCTTCTTCTTGCCTTTGGAGGTCAGATTTTCTTTATAGGTGTAGAGTTATTTTCTCTACTGAATGTGTGTTCTAATCTCTGACCATATTTTTGGTGTGTGGTTTGGGTTTTTTTTTTACAATGGTTTTCTTTTATACAGTGCTTTCTAGAGTGTCAATCCAAGTGCAAATTAGCTGTATTTTCTTAAATTTTATATATGGTATTCTCTAGTGACTCTTTTCCTTGTTTACGCAGTGGAACAGCAGTAACTGTTGCCCGCAGGAATGTGCATACTGGGAATATAGGACTGTTTACTGCTGTTGCCACCAAGTAAAAACTTGTGTGGGTGCAGCAGAGCAGATAAAAATAATGCTTTTTTTCCACTGAATTTCACTTAAAATAAAAGTGTTACCCTTCTGCAGTTTAGGAGATGAAAAAGCATCTCAAGATCTTAAGTAATGGATCTTGGGGCATAAACCAGCTGTGGATTTGGGGCTTTTTGCGTATTTTTCCTCCAGATAAAAATTCTTAATGCTTTTTTGGACATTTAAATAACTTGTTTTGAAGATTGATTAGAAGGAAACTAAAGCTGTTTAAAAAATATGCATGCTTTTGACTATTCAGGATTGGCCCTTAAATCAGTGCATTCTTATGAATGCATTCTTTAAAAAACTCTGTTCTGGAAAACTAATTTATTCTTGAAGTTTTTTTCATCTAGTACATATTGGAGTACATCCAGCAATTCATCCTGGAGACAGGTAGCCTTATTTTTCAGATAAAATGAGTAGGTCTATTTCTCTAATTTCAACAAAATGAGATTGCCTCAAGAAATTTGACACTTAGCTCTTAGTGATAGTGGCTGCAGGAACACGTTAGGTACATGCAAGATGTTATAAAGATTGCTGAAATTCTTATTGCTTGGGTCCAACTTACTTTGAAGCATGCCCTCTTCCTTGAGACTGGTATTGGGGAGAGTGAGATGTCATCTGTTGGAAAAAGGTAAACAGTGAAGGCCAGGCACTGGATTAACCTGAGGAGGGTCTGGTCTACCTACAATCGGCAGCATTCCTCAACCCTTTTGTCTTTAAGTGGGCTGTTTTCATTTGCTCGTACAAATCCTCTTCTGTGATTAGTTGCATGCTCCATTGCTTGGAATTGAGACATAAAGCAGTAAAAGAATGCATTTCTAAACTAGCTCTTAACAGAGAAATTACTTAACAGTGTAGCTACAGGAACAAAATGGCTAAACTTTATTAGAGTTGATATGAAGTGATACATTTTTAATGAAGATAATCTAGAAAACTTGATGGAGAGCAAACCTGCAACTGCAAAAGTAACGTATCAAACCAACTAGTATTTAGTCATAAAATAAAAATAAACTGTTTTGTTCTTTTCACCACCCCGTGGTGAAATCTATGTCATCTTTCTTAAGAGTCATTGTGGCACTATGTCATCTAAGCGTTACTCCCAGATATGTTATTGTATGTAGGTTGTTGTAACTGCAACTGCAAATTGATAATGATTGTTTTGGGGAATACGTTTGACAGTAAGAAAGGTACTGTTTCTAATTTCATGTTACTTTTGCTCAGTTTAACATGCAAAGCTATAATTATCCTACAATGGAAAAGGATAACATTAAACTAGTTAGAGGTTTGGGAGTTTTTTTCAAATGCAAATCATGCATTTAACTGCATGCTCCCTGGAATTTGTTGCAGGCCAGTGAAAGCAACCTATTCATACTTGTGGTAAGGAAAAATAATGGTTCTGCCCGCTTGAACTGGATCAGACATTTTCATCTCTAACTGCAAGCACAGCCAATAGGCATTAATAAAAATAGTATTTTGTGACTTGGAGAATCAGCAATGTTTAAATGAGTGAACTAAGTGGATTAATCTACTGCAAGCATGATGATGTGAAGATTTGATAGCACATTTAGATGCATGTCCTGCAATCCTGCAAATATGTTGGAACAAACATCTTTGTAGACAATCTGTTTGGTTTAGGTTGGATAGTTCTTGGTGTTTGTTTTCTTTATTTCCATAGTAGTCCAGAGAAGCAATAGTCAAAACCAGTCATGCAAGTTCTGTGTTTCAGAACATGGTATTATGGATGATAAGTAAAACATCTGAGGATGTAAATGCTAGATTTTTTTTTTTTTCCCCTAAAACTTAAACCTTGGGTTGAAATACAACTTGGTCACTCTGTTTTTTTCTCTCAAAACTTGTATTCCATGTTCCTAATTTATATTTAAGTATTCTTTTTTTTTTTTTTTTTTTTTTTTGTAACATCTTTGGAAATAGTGAGGAGGATCACTGTTTTTGTAAGTAAAAATATTAATTTCACACTTATCTTTATTAAATGGATGAAAGACAATGTTTTGGTGACTGTGCTGGAATCTGGCATTCTTTCTACTGAATGTTCATATGAAAAGATGCCAGATTCCAGGCCAAAGCATAAATGTTCAAGCTGGGATTAAAGTAAATAGCTTGAGTAGGTGGTGTGAGTTTGCCTAAGTGTTTGTAGCTCTGTGGTTTTCCCACAATGGAAATAATTGTTAACACATAAAAGTAAGGACATCTTGATACTGTTGAGGTTCCACTAAATTAACCAGTCAGCAGAGGGAGCATGAGTTCACTGGCAAAAATATCCCAATTGTGCTTTAGTTAATTTGACAATCTACACAAAAATATTTTAAACTTTGATAGGCCCACATGCACATGTGTTCATCAGCAGTTAAAACATCATTGTGAAATTAATCTCAAATGTGTCTTGTAATTGTCTTAAAAATAATGCAAAACCCGCTACAAAATACAACATCTACAGAAACACTGATTAAATTCTTAAATTACAACAGGCCAGTAACAAGGCTGAACTCCGCTAATTCCAAGTGTTTTTCTTTTCTCTTTATCCCCCCAAAAAAGACAATTATTTGGGACAGATTTTTGTTTTGTTTTGTTTTGTTTTTCTTTTTTTTTTTTTCCTTCCAAAAGAAGATTTTTGTCTAAACTTTGAAGAACATTTTTTTGGTATTGTTTTAGTCAAACAGGTTCTCTGTGTATAGCTGTAATTGTACTGAGCCCTGGAAGTAGAACTGTGCACACCTTGTGGTTAGGTCAGATACCAGTTGGTCACACTGGTGGTGTGTGCTCTTTACTACCACAGGCTTAATACTTGAGTAAAAAGTAGAAAAGGATCCAAGGCATGTGGGTTTTTTGGGGGTAAAAAGCATGGTGTGATGGGGGTGGGGTGGGTGGGAAGCTTTTCCTTCTTTGTTGCAGAGAGGTTAACCTTCAAAGAAGTATTGTTGAAGAAAACACTTGAAATTTTACTAAATTATTGTCTTTATCCTGAAGAACTGGTTCAAATTGCTCCTGTTGGATCTCTCCAGTTGTCAGTCAGGTAAGAGTTAAGTTTTATTTCTTATTGTATTAATTAATTGCTGCTCCAGGACTTCACGGCCCATGGGCCTGCACTACAGTGCCAGCATGGGGCATCTACTTGAGTTTGGCTTCTTTGAGCCTGTGTTATCCGAGACACTCGGAATGCTTTGACTGAAGCTCTTCATCAACTTGAAGGAAAAAGATGGCTGGGAGCCAAGCAATTGTGGAAGGGAAGCATAATTATGGTTTCTATTTGGGTTAAGCAAACTTAACTGGGCACTTAAAGAGAAAATAAAAGTACAGGGTTTTGCCTTCCAGTAAGCTTTTTTTGCATTAGAAATAATGCAGAGGGGGGAATGTGGTCAATGAGCTTAAAAGGGTACTGGAGCCCTAGACAGCAGGTAAGTGGGTCAAAGCATACTCCTCATGCTGCCCTGCTGAAATTTTGGAGCCAATCCTATAGGGACTTGTTCTAGAGTGGGTTGTTTAGTTCAGACTCTGCTTCGTACTTCCCTCAAACAGCCAGCAGATGCTAGCTGTGGAAGTGGTTCTTGTGGCTGAAGGCTGCTGAAGTGCCTGAGAAGCCAGCAGTTGACTGTCAGCTCAGGGGTTCTGAGCTCTCGTGGTGGAGCCTTTGACATACTCTTTTCTATTTTTGCTCCGTGTGCTTCACTTCGTGCTCTCTGAAATGGTTTGTCTTGCTCTTACACCACGACTATTTCGTGCCCCACGTTTCTGTGGATTTCTAGTGCATTACTGAATAAATGTTTGATTTTTGTACCTGCAGAACTGAGGTTGGCCAGAAGATGTCATCTGAGTTTTGCAGAAGGAGAGCTGTGTTATGACTTCAGTCTGTCTGTTATTGTGTACGTGTGCGTAACAAACTTCAGGTGCTGTTGAAATATGGAGAAAAACCCTATATGCATCTTAAAAATTCTGTGTGTTTTATTAGTACCTCCATTTTATGAACTGGGTAATCTGAGCAACAGTTTGATTAAATTTAATTCTTTGCCAAAACCAAATTTTAATGGCCCAAGTACCCTCACAGTTAAGGTTTGTCTCAAAGAAAACAGTCTCTTTGTCCTGGCACTGCTAAGCACAAGAACATGAAATGGAAGCAAAGAAGCACCTGAGTTA